AGAGCTTATATTTTAACAAATTTCTGCAGGATGGAAAGCAAGTATAAGAGACTCCACTACCCCCAAGGAACCCCCAACAAGCTCAGCCTTAGAGTTTCCTAGGAGGTACAAAAGGCTACCCTGAAGCTGAGGCCTAACAAGGAGGAAGCCACAGGGCAAATGTTCAAAGTGGCAGGCCCCCAGGTTCAGAAGATGACCCAAAGTTTTTCTAAGAAATTGAGTCACAAGGGCAGGAAAACTATAACAAGAACTCTACAGTCTGAAGGTCGTTAACTTCCATTCCTCCTGGATTCAGGTAACTTAAGCCCTGGCTGCTGGTTTATCACCAAGCATACCAGAGGCAGGAAGTTTCTGGAGGCTTCTTCATAGACACTGAACAGGGCACTAATTAGACGCCAAATTTACTGGTTTATGACAGACTTCCAATGAAAAGTTCACCTACATTCCAAAAGCCATCAGGAGCTGGTCAGAATACTTATGTGCTCTCTCCCCTCCATCTCAGCACCTCACTCTTCATTACTACATCCAAGGATCACTGAGGGTCATACATTTGTGATCTATACAAATAGAGAAAAAAAGTGGAAAAAACAGAATACTAAAAATACATTAAACATAAAGGGGGAAAAATGCACATCTCAGAAATAAAGATAATACACTCATCAGGTACAATGAAGTAGAAAGAAAACAAAAAGATTCTAAGATTCAACAGTTAAGAGCACTGGCTGCTGCTCTTGCAGAGGACCTGGGTTCAATTCCCAGTACCCACATGGCTGTTAACCATCCAACTCCAGTTCCAGGGGATCCAACACCCTCATCTGACCTCCATGGGCATTGCATGACACTGTGCACTTAAACACATGCAGGCAATACACTCATACACATAAAATAAAAATAATAAAATACTTTTAAAAAAAAAAAGAAAACATAGATGGAGAGATGGCTTGGTGGTTAAGAGCACTGGCTGCTCTTAAAGAGGATCTGCATTTGGCTCCCAGCACCCGCATGCAGCTAATAACCATCTGTAATTCCGGTTCCAAAGGCTCCAATGCCCTCTTCTGACCTCTGTGGGCACTGTACAACACAAGTGCACTTATAATACATGCAGGCAATAAATACACTCACAAATATAAAGTAAAAATAAATTAAAAATTAAAAAAAAAGATTTTAAAAGTTAAAATTATGAACATTTTAAGTTAAAGCTTGGAAGACAAACTAAAAGGGGAAAAATCTTCACCTACTTATTATCATACAAAGAAATAAAAGGCAAATAAGTCAAGAAAACATGTACTTCAATTCAAGGAGGAAAATCAATAGCCAAACAAGTAGGTATCTTGGAAAAAAAAAAAACAGAAAAAAAATGAAGATTAGGACATTATTTTTCAAATGAGAAGGCACTTCTAAAAACTGAATGCACTGTGTCTCTAGACTAAGAAAGAAATCACATATGAGCTTATAAAACTTGAGAATGCCGGAGAAAAATACCCTGAAATTCCAAAAACAAGGAGAAAAGGGAATTAGAAATGGCTTTGAACCGTTTATCTAAAGCTCTTACAAGAGAAAACAGTGAAAATATCAAAGTTGTAAACAAAAATTATATTCACTCTAATATTCTAAACTCAGCCAAAACATCTACAAAGTGTGAGGATAAGATAAACACCTCCGCGCGTATAAAGATTCAAATAATCTATCTTCCTTCTTCTTCTTAGGAAGCTACTGAGGATATATATTAGCAAAGGAAAGTAAACCAAGAAAACAGATGACAAAAGATCTGGGAGAGAAGAGGAAATGCACAAAGTGCTTCTATCCAGACTGCAGCAAGAAAAAAGAAGATTCTAGATCAAGACACCGCTAAGAAGAAACCCAATGGAACTAACAGATGTCCTCATGAGCTACCTTGTGGGGGAGATGGGGTGGGGGGGGAATCAAAGGGTACTCAGCATGTTTCTTGGAGTACTTGAGGGAATAAATACACACACGAAGACAACTAACTAGAAAAGTTTAAAACCCAATTCTTTGCTCTGGGAAAACCAGTTACATCTAGAAAGCAAAACCATAGGTTTCCAGTTAACTCAGAAATGGGCAATATTTGTATAAAATAAAGTAAAAACTGACCGCTGGTTTTTCGTTTTCCTTTTTAAATGCACTGGAGAGATTGGGGTTAAAAAAAAAAAAGGGGGTAAGAGCTAAGTTATGATACTAGAAAGATAAATGCTTGTTCCATATTGGTTTAGAAATATGAAAGAAAAAAAAGCAAAATAACAAACAGAAGGAGGATTTAAGATAGCAATGACCCTGGGAAGCAGGGCCTGGAGGACACAGAGGTCAAAGGCAGAACACTGCTGGTTCTTCTTTTAAGCTTTTAGTGTTATTTGACTTTTCAAAAACTATGTGCATGTAGTAACTGCAATAAAACTACTTATTCTCCTATCAAGCACAATTAGCGCAACACACAAATTTGACAACATACAATAGTGTCACTACCAATTTATGTTTCTCACTTGGAATTCTAAACGCATTATCTTAGAAATAATTGTAAGATGATAGTTTTTCTGTCAACTTTCAGAAGGCATTTACCCTTTTAAGGATTCAAAAATATGGCACAAAAGTATTTCAAGTAGTCTTACACACTGTAACAACCACAATCTGAGGACTCAAAAGGCCTTGCATGCATTCCACCACTTTTTGCCACCCAAAGCCAGGGAACTCTTTAAAGATAGCCGGTCTGAGGGAGACAGGAAGGGACAGGAAGTGGCCCTGGATCTAGCATAAGCAGATGGAGAACCTAAAGATCACTGTTATAGGTCAATTCAGTTCGTACTACAGAAAATACTGCCGAGTCCCTCTTACCACAACATGCTGGCCATTCAAGAAGGCAAGGCTCCCGTTCCATTCCACACACTGCCCATTTCTGGAAATACACTCACTAGATGCTGTGAATCATTTACTTGCTTACAAATACTAAGAAAATTAATTCCTGGTTACAAAGGCATCACTTCAAATACTGAGTAGCAGTCATTTCTTCTCCAATATGCCATAATCAAACTTCTATATGCACAATATCTTCATCTCTTTCAATAAAACTTGGTCTGCACATAAAATAAAATTATATATTTGGGGCCTGAAGAGATGGCCCAGCAGTTAAGAGCACTGACTGCACTTGCAGAGGACCCGGGTTCAGTTCTCAGCACCCACATAATGGCTAACAACCATCCATAACTCCAGTTCCAGGGGATTTGATACCCTCTTCTGCCTTCTTACAGACATGTGGTACTCTTACATACATGCAGGCAAAACATTCATCCATATAAAAACTTTTTAAATGTATAAAAAGCTTGACTGATGCCAGCCAACAGTTTTGTGTATATATACAATGTATATGTAATATATAAACTATGTGACCCTAAGCAAGTTAAACCTTCACTTTTCTCATTTCTAAAATGGGAACAATGACACCGACCCCACCAGGTAACAAGAAAATCAGAAGAAATAACATAAAGTATGTACCAGGCCCCAGTAAGGTGGCTCAGCAAGAAAAGGCTCTCGCTGCCAAACTGGACCACCTTAGTTTGATCCCTGGGACCCACACTGTGGAAGGAGGGAGTTGACCCCCTCAAGTTGTCCTGACTGCACACACACATCCATACATCCATGCATACATAAACACAATGTGACTAAAAAAAAATGTTAAGCATGTAACCAGTAGGGCCATACAAGCGCCCCTCCATGTCTGCCTCTAGCAATCAGTCCCCTCCATCCCCACGGAGTAGGGAGGGGAGGAAGCATATGCAAACAAAGTCACAATTACATAACTTCTTTTAACAACAAAAACAAAACTTTATAAAAGCATGCGTAATGCATTAGTATCTTTAATATGAGCTGGTTTACAAGTAGCCATTTTTTTTCCTAAGCCTTATTCTCAGGTTCCAGGACTAACCTAAATTGCAGTTTCAAGTCAGCTAGACTAAATTCAGCTAATTCAACTAGACTTAAAAAGGATTAAGAAAGGAACATTACAAAAACACAATTCTTCTTTGGTTAAAGAGTACAAATCCATACATATATACAATGTCTAAACAGTCTGTTAAAAGCATTTAACTCCAATGTTGAGTTCATCGCAACAGACCTTAAACTCCGCTAACCTTTAAAATTATATATAAACCCACTGAAATAAAGCCGGCAGATAATAGAATTTTTCGGCTCCAACACTCCACTCAGAAGCACCACACCCAAAGACCTTAATTCACAAAAGGCGGCATATGTGAGGTGTCTAACTATCAACTATCAAAGACTTCTTTTTTGATAGCTGGCCAGGCCTTTCTCTAAGGGCTTATTTCAGAATCCACAAAGTTCCAAATGGAGGGCAGCATCATTTTTCAAACGAGTACCCCAAACAACAAAACTAAATAGGTAAACAGAACCAACTGACTCAAAGCCAAGTTCTCCTTTCTCGTCAAGGTATTCAACGTTATGCGAGTGGACTGGAACTGCAGGATCAGTTCAAACTCAACCAACCCAAGACAAACACCAAAAACCACCGCAGTTGCTAAAGATCTGCTACCTGGCATCCGTTCGCGATCTAAAAAGCAGGCTTAAAGGTCCTAAGATTTGGAGGCTGCCACAAACTTCGAGTGCCCTTCTCACCTTTCCCCTCTGTGGTTTTTTGAAAAAGCGAGTTAGCAGATAGTAGGCCCCGAGCAGCGTGGTCTACTGGGGTATCAAAAGCACACCTAAGGGTCGGCCCCTTGGAAGCATCCAAACTGCAGGGCCTAGAGTGACGTGCGCGGGAGGCTGGTCGGGAAGAAAAGCAGCAAGGCGCTGGGGTCCAGGGGTGGTACGGAGGGGCTGTGGGCACATGCCCCAGGCCGGATCAGTGACCAGCCGGGGAGCGGGGAGGAGGCTCGGCCCGAGAGGGGGCCGCACCTCCGGGCCAGCGCGGCAGGCGAGGGCCCGGGCTGCTGGCGACCCCCGCCGGGGACCGGAAGCGGCGCGGACCGACTCACCCATGAGCCGGTGTACCTCGTCCTCGCTCAGGTAGAGGCTCACACTGGGCCCTGCAGACAAGGCGGGCAGAGCCGGGAACCTCGGGGCGGGGACGGCGCCGGCCGCGGGCAGCAGCGCCAACACCAGCAGCAGGAGCAGCAGAGGCTGCGGCGGCGGCGGCGGCGGCGGC